AACCAACAAAACAACGCACGAATCAATGCAACCAACTAACTAACCCACCAACCAGCAAACTAATCAACCAACTAACCCACCAACCATCCAACCCACCACAAACGAACCAAAGTAACCAACACATTAAGCAATGCAATAACCAACCAATCAAAGCACAAGCCAACCAACCATTTCATTAAGGAACTGACCAGCCAATGAACCCAACAAACTAACCAGCCAACCAAGAAGCCAATCAATAAACTTACCAAACAGCTAACCAATGAACTAGCCGACCAACCAGCAAAATAAACCAGACAACCAATCAACCAGGCAACAAGCCAACCAACCATCAGTCAGCCAACCAGCGAACTAACCAACTAATGAAGAAAAACACCGAAAAATTGACAAAGGAAAGACAAGCACACGAAAGAACTGACTAATTAATGAAAGAATTGATTAAATAAATAATGAGGGAACCTACAAAAAAATTATCCAATGACCCTGAATGAACAAACGAGCTAACAACCTAATTGAGTAATGGATGAGCTAGCTAACAAACGAAGGAACCCAACTCACCCGAGAGGAAGGCGATCTCACTGAAGAGCATCCAAGTGCCAGAGAAATGGAAGTGGCATTGCAGGAAACGCCCGAGGTGCCCCTCAAGGGGCACGGTGACTGACCGGGCACTGGGGTCCTTGACGTCCACAGCCAGCTCGTGGGAGACAAGTTCGGGCTCCCAGGCCGTGGGGAGGCTGCGTTTGAACCTGCAATCCACCTGCCGGAATATGCTCACCCCCCGTGTGTGCATGTTATTGCAGTAGATCTGGGGGAAGAAGGAGGGTCAGCCGTGGAGAGGATGCCAGTGCCCCATAGAGGGCAAATTCCCCCATTCCCGCACCCTTGAGCCAGCCAGTTCTTCCACCCTGGGGCTGGATGGGAGCCGGCACCCGCTAGAGGGGACAGGCCCCCTACCCCATTCCCCATTCCCCTGAACCAGACAGTCTCTGTCCTGGGTCCGGATGGTACCTTCATGTAAGTGAAGACCCGCAGGCTGTCGAACTCGAACTCCATCTCCAGGTAGCCTTTGGGGAAGGAGTCATTTCTCCAGCCCACGTAGTCGTAGCCCGGCCAGACCCGCAGCTCCTTAGTCTGGGTGAAGTCGTCCAGCCCCACCACGCCATCCGTCAGCTGCCCCAGCCCCCCGAACTGCAGCCTGCCAGGAGGAGACATAGCACTATGGACAGGGGTAATGCCAGCTCCCTACCCACTCTGAGTCAGGGGCTGCACTGGGAGGGGGATGGCCCCAGGGGCCCCTCCAAACCCATAGGAGGGGGACTGGCTGGGACTTCTGGGTTCTTGCACTGGGGGAGTGAGATGGGGGAGACCAGTGTATCAGATTGGTACACTGGGGAACAGGAATGGGACCTACAGGAGAGGCCGATCCACCCGTCTTCCAGTCTATCCATCCACCCACCAGATTCCCCCCTTCCATCCATCCACCCACCAGATCCATCAGATCTATCCATCTTCCAGTCTATCCATTCGCCTACCAGATCCATCCATCTTCTGGTTAATCCATCCACCCACCAGATCCATCAACCATCCACTCATCTATCCACCAGATCCATTAGATCTACCCATCTTTTGGTCAATCCATCTACCCACCAGATCCATCCAACCATCCACTTATCTATCCACCAGATCCATCAGATCTATCCATCTTTCGGTCAATCCATCTACCCACCAGATCCAGCCAACCATCCACACATCTATCCACCAGATCCATTAGATCTACCCATCTTTTGGTCTATCCATCTGCCCACCAGATTCACCCACCCACCCATCCATCCACCCACCCACCAGATCCATCCATCTTCTGATCTATCCATCCATCCATCATCAGATCTATCTCTCCATTCATCTGTCAAACCATCTTCAGTTCTACCTTGTCAGATCCATCCATCCACTCATTCTCGGACCTACCTATCCATTTACTCACCCATTCTCAGATCTAGCTGAGGGGGAAGGGGATTGTTTAGGGGACGAGGCAGGGGGGTCAGGGACGGTGGAGTGTTTGTTTAGGAGGTGGGGGGGTTCGCCAGGGTGGACATGGGGCTCAGGGGGATGGGGGCTAGGGGACAAGGGTGGCAGGGTCAGCAGAGAGTGGAGTAGGGTGTGGAGTAGGGTGGGTCGGTGGTGGAGGGGTGGGGGACCGGGGCTGGGAGAGGGGTATGGGGGTGGTAAGAACTCACTTGCTGACACTGTAGCCGTCATAGGTGGAGTCGTTGAGGTAGACAGGCTCCGGCTGGAGGGCCATGGTCTGGCCCTGGGGGGCGGTGTAGGACTGCAGCCCATCTGCAGGGGGAGACACAGAGGGATGTGCATCAGCCACCGGGACCCACACCATGGGGGGGAGGGTAGAGCAAAGTAGGGGGGGGGGGGGCAGGGCACCTCACCACGCCAGATGCAGCCGTACAGCTCCACGCGCAGGCAGACGCTCATGACACGGTCGGCGCGTGGGTAGAAGCGCACGTAGCGGGCGATGATGGGCGGCCCCAGGTCCTTCAGTACCACCTCGTTGGTGTTCTCGTTCCCAGAGATCACCTGGGCAGGGAGGGGTTAATCACTCCCGGAGCCGGAGCCCCGCTCCTCGCGCCAGCCCCACCCACCCTGCTGGGACCTCCCCCACTGCCGGACATCACAGCCCTGGGCCCTATCACATCACAGCGCAACATCACAGGACACCATGGTGTTGTCACCCTCCTCCCCCCCCATTTGATGTCATCTTTGTCTGATTGTGACATCACAGCCTAGAGTAATGTCATCACGCTCTTGCGGTAACCTTATGAGCCCTGTAACATTGTGACCCCCACCACCACCGGTGTCATCAGAGTCACATGGCATGAGGACGTCACAGGCAGGTGGGCAAAGACTATGTCTGAAGGGGCGATGACATCACAGAGATGACTGTGATGTCACAGGCAGTCGTGATGTCACATACAAGGGGCTGTGGTGTTACAGACAAGTCACGATGTCACAATGGGGTCATGATGTCAAAGTCGTATTGAGGAGACCTCACAGAGGGTCATGAGGTCACAGACAATCATGTCACAGGGAGCTGTGACATCACAGGGAGACAATTATGATGTCACAGGGGGTGGCGATGGAAGGGGGAAGTCCAGCATGACAGAGCCTGGACATGAAACATACCTAACTCACCGCCCCCCCTCCCTACATTGCCCCCTCTCCTGCCACTGCCCCTCCCCACACCCTAAACCCCCTCTTCCTCCACTCCTTCAACCACCCCCCGTCCCCAACTCCCTCCCCTTCCCCTCTGCTCCTCCCCCCACACCCTGCTGCCCCAGCGGTCTGTCCCCTTCCCCCCTCCCCGCGTCCTCCCCGTACCTCGTTGCCCCAGCGGTCCCGCCAGGCGAGCCAGTGGTGCCGGTCGCGGCTGTAGTGGAGGCGGTAGGTCCGGGCAAACTCCTTGCCGTGGCCCCCCGCGTGGCGGCCCTGGGTGCCCACCAGGGTCAGGAAGTGCAGGCGCTGCAGGTCAACCTCCAGGAACTCGGCGTCATTGGGATAAACGGGCCCCGCCGGGCACCACGCCCCGTCCCCATCACTCGTGTCCAGCCTGCGCCCGAGGGAAAGGGGGGGAACATGACACACACAGGGGGGTTAGCCCCAGTGTTATTGTAGGGTCTCTCGGAAATGCTGGGGCTGCCTGGGCAAGTTTGTTACTGTAGGGTCTCTCATAAGATCTGAAGGTGGGTTATTATTGTAGGGTCTCTCATAAGATTTGGGGCTGGGTTGTTATTGTAGGGTTGCCTCGCAGTCCTACATAGGCCCATTTGTTATCATAGCGTCTTTGATAAGGAGCAGGGTTGCTTTGTTATTGTAGGGTCTCTCAGGAGATCTGGGGCTGGTTTGTTATTGTAGGGTCTCCCTGGAGGGCTGAGACTTATCGTAGTGGGGGAGGGGGGGCTCTCACCGGCTGTGCTTGGCGGCCGTGGAGTCAGACCAGGCACTCGAGGCAGATAGATCCTCGTCGGGGATGGTTCGATCCTGCATGCCCAGCGCGTAGCGACACTTGGCTGCAGAGAGAGAGCGAATGGAGAGTGGCTCCTATACACCCCCTAGAGCCCATCCAGCTCCTATAACCCATCCAGCCCCTATACACCCCCTATAGCCCATCCAGCCCCTATACACCCCCTATAGCCCACACAGCCCCATACACCCATCCAGCCCCTATAAGCTCATCCATAGCTCGCCTGCCTCTATAACCCACCCAGCCCCTATATGTTCACTCTACCTGGCCCATATAGTGCATCCAGCCCCTATACACCTCACCAACGCCCCATACATGTCCCTATAAGGCACCCATCTCCTCTACATTCCCCCTCATACCCTATTCATCACGTCCACATGACCTATACCCCTCCTCCCATCCCATCCTCCAGTCCCCTTACCTAGCCCCCTCCACTGCCCCCAGCCCTATCCGTTCCCCCATAGCCCGAGGCAGAGAGACCGGGGGGGGGTAACGCTGCCCAGCTCGGACCCCAGGGGCAGGGGGGTGATGGGTCTTCTAGCAGCAGGAGGGGGAGGAGAAAGGGGAAAGCCCCAATCCAGCCACCAGGGGGCGCCCCAGCCCCACATACAAGCCAAGCCACTTGGCCATGGCCCTGTCCTCCTGCTTTCACACTCAGTCTTTCACACTCACCGCAGCCCTCCCTTCCACACACCCCCCCTCCCCTCTCCCCCCTTCCCTGCCTTCCACACCCCCACTCCCCTCCCTTCCCCACTCACCCCTCCCTTCCATACTCACCTCTTCCCCCTTCCCCACTCCCCCCTCCCTTCCACATTCCCCCCTTCCCTGCCTTCCACACCCCCACTCCCCTGCCTTCCCCACACACCCCTTCCCTCCCCTCCCCCTCCCATCCCCACTCACCTCTCCCCTCCCCTCCTTTCCTCACTCACCCCCCACCCACCACTCCCCTCCCTTCCCCACTCTCTCCTCCCCTGCCTTCCCACATTCCCCCCTCCCCTGCCCTCTCCCCTCCCCCTCCCATCCCCACTCACCTCTCCCCTCCCCTCCCTTCCTGGCTCATGCAGCCCCTAGCCCCTTGCCCGCCCACCCCTGCCCTGCCCCCTCTCCCGTCCAGGAGCACCCGACACCCCAGAACTACTCTCCTCCCCCGGGGCACAGCTGGAGGGGCAGTGAGGGACCTGAGTCTAGGCCGGGCGGAGGGGGGGGCTCTCGCCCATGCCCGGGGTGAGGAATTGGGGGGGGCACCCAGGGGGGCTGAGGAGCCGCAGGGCATTTCTCACTCTGTGTGTGTGTGTGACTGCCCCCTGCTGGTGGGAATCAGATCTGTTCTGTGCCTTAGTATGTACTGAGCATATTCGTGCGTGTGCATTAGCATGTACAGAACATACAAAGTCCTCCACACCCAGCACCCCCTCCCCTGCTCCTCCCCACCCCATCCCCCCTGCTGCCCCCTGCTCCCCAACTCATCCCCCACACCCGGCACCCCCTCCCCTGCTCACCCCCATCCACCACCCCAATCCCCATCCCGTTTCCCCCCCACACTCCTCCTGCAGCACCCGTTCCCCAACCCATCCCCCGTATCCAGCACTCCCTCTCCGGTGTCCCTCGCATCCTCTGCACCCTGCGCCCCATCCCCCACTCACACCCCATCCCCTGCTCCGCCCCATTCTTCCCTCTCCCCCCCATCAGCCACGCCTCTCCCCCCTCTGGCCTTTCCACTGTCGTTCAATCTTTCACCCCTCCGTTCTCTTATCGCTCCCTTCATCCCTTCATTCACTCCTTCCTTCCTTCCTCCCTTCATTCATTCTTCCATTTCTCCATCCCTGCTCCTCCCCCCACCCCCGCCACGGCACTAGCTGGCCACAAGCCCCTTTGCACAAGCCCCCCTGCACACACAAACACAACCCCCCGCCCCCCGGCTGGTTTCTCCTAGAGATACCTAGATCAAAGTGCCCCTCCAGTTCCGATGCCTGGACAGACGCCAAGAGGAAGCTGCAAAGGATTATGGGTCTCATCGTGCTCCGCCCGGTCTCAGCCCCTCAGGCCAGGTTAGGCTGGCAACTGGGTCTTCATGCCTGCAGAAAGGAGAAAGCAGGGTCAGTTCAGCGGGAACCGCTCACCCCGGCACCAAGATGCAGCCACCTCTGGGGCGGAACAGCTGGGTTACCCCCGCACAGCGATGCCGCTCCAGGATGGCTCGCCCGGCACTGAGATGCAGCTGCTTCTGGGGTGGGGCGACTGGGGAACAGCCACCCAGAACAGCCCTGCAAAGGGAAGGTTTGCCCAGCACTAAGATGCAGCCACCTCTGGGGTGAGGCAGCTGGGTACCAGCCACGCAGAGACACTGCGTGGACGCAGTTCGCCCGGTGGGGAAATGCAGCCAGCTCTGGGGTGTGGCAGAAGGTCGGGGAAGCTGATGAATGGGAAATCCTGCCCCTCCCCAGCCAGGGATGTTTCCTGCAGGTCCCTGCGCTGGGAATCCCCAAGGGCTGAGTAACACACGCTGTGGAGCCAGGGCATCGCGGCTTCCTGCGATTGTCAGCGCTTCCCCGGCACAACGTCGGGCGGAGGAGTGAACAGCCAGCGGGATACACACACGTGCCTGCATGGACACCACTGCCCCCACCTCCCATGCACAGACACCACTGACCCCCAACACACACACGCACGGACACCACTGCCTCCCCTCCCCCACATGAACTACTACATACACACACACACACCCTGCTACACAACCCCCTACACACACACCCCAGCAGAGCTGTTTAGGACAGGAAGTAACTCCCAGCTCCGCTTGACACTGCGGGGAAGTTCCCGTGGATGAATGGGATCCTCACCCCCACTGGGATTTGACCAGGACACCGGGATTCACGCCTGGACTCTATTAAGGAGTCAGGACCTTGGGGGGGGAAATGGGACCTCCACCAGTACCACCCCTGCCCCTCTCCCTGCAGACCAGCACCCCCTGCTGAGCCCCCCTGCCCCGCTCCCTGCAGGCCAGCGCCCCCTGCTGCCCCCTGCCCCGCTCCCTGCAGCCCAGCGTCCCCTGCTGCCCCTCCTGCCCCTCTCCCTGCAGCCCAGCAACCCTGTTGCCCCGCTCCCCACAGCCCAGCGCCCCCTGCTGCCCCCTGCCCCGCTCCCCGCAGCCCAGCGTCCCCTGCTGAGCCCCACCCCCTCCCCACAGTCCAGCGCCCCCTGCTGCCCCCCTGCCCCTCTACCTGCAGCCCAGCGCCCCCTGCTGCCCCCCCTGCCCCTCTCCCTGCAGCCCAGCAACCCTGTTGCCCCGCTTCCCACAGCCCAGCGCCCCCTGCTGCCCCCCGCCCTCCCCCCCCCACCCCGCCCCCCCCGCTGAGCCCCACCCACTCCCCGCAGTCCAGCGCCCCCTAGTGAGCCCCACTCCCTGCAGCCCAGCGCCCCAACCAACCCCCTTTCCCAGCAGCAGGACCCCCTGGATGCAGAGGGGAGGCTGTGTGGGTGTGGGGCGCCCCAGGCCAGCTGCTCCGACAACACATTGCTGGAATGTCCCTCCCAACAGCTGCCTGTCTCTTGCCCTGGTAAACAGCAGCTGACAGGCTGGGGGCAGGGGGGGCTGGTGCCAAGTTGGACGGGGAGGGGAGGAATCAGGGCATGGAGGGTGGGTCCCTTTGTACCCACGAATGGGGCTGATCCCCAGAGCGGGCTACTGAAGCTGCTCAAAGCCAGGCTGGGTCCCACCCAGGGGCTGGAGGGGCTCCCACCCAGAAGTGGGTGGGGAGATTCCTGGACATTAGACAGGCGCTGGATTCTGGCAGAGCTACCTGCAAAGGCCAAAGGGGGCTACGGGTCGGGAGTGAGGGGCACCGCAGGGCAGGGCTAGCGGGGGGCTGCGGGTCGGGAGTGAGGGGCACCGCAGGGCAGGGCTAGCGGGGGCTGCGGGTCGGGAGTGAGGGACACCGGCAGGGCTGGGCTAGCGGGGGGCTGTGGGTCGGGAGTGAGGGGCGCCGCAGGGCAGGGCTAGCGGGGGCTGCGGGTCGGGAGTGAGGGGCACCGCAGGCCAGGGCTAGCGGGGGGCTACGGGTCGGGAGTGAGGGGCACCGCAGGGCAGGGCTAGCGGGGGGCTGCGGGTTGGGAGTGAGGGGCACCGCAGGGCTGGGCTAGCGGGGGGCTGCGGGTTGGGAGTGAGGGGCACCGCAGGGCAGGGCTAGCCGGGGGCTGCGGGTCGGGAGTGAGGGGCACCGCAGGGCAGTGTGGCTCTCACGCAGGGCACTGTGCGGGCTGGCGCGTTGCTCGTGGCTGCCTCACATTCCAGGCACATCGCTGGCATTCCTCGCCCTGGCTTCCGTTCAATGAGTTTCCTTTTCTCCCAGAGCCCAGGGGCCTGAGGAGGTCGCCCGGTCACCAGCCTCAGATGCTGGCGGAGCAAGTCAAGGACCTTCCAGTTGCCAAGGGCACCAGATTAGACACCCCCCAACACACACACACACACACCCCTCTGCCAGGGGGGTGGGGAATGGGGCAGGGGCCTGTCCCCTCTAGGGGGCGCCGGCTCTGATCTGGGCCCAGGGCGGGCGACTGGCTTGGGTGGTTCCCAAGCAAACGCAGTTACAACATAAGGCATTTTCCGCTGGCTGCCTGGCTGAATGTCAGAGGCAGCTGGGTATGTGGGGCGCGCAGCCACGGTGACACAGCAGACAGCAGGGGAGGGTTAAGGGGCCCGCAGGCGACTTGCCTAACTTCAGCGATTTCTTGTCAGGACTCCTGGGTTCTCTCCCCAACTTTGGAAGGGGAGTGGGGGCTAGTGGTTAGAGCGGGGGGGGGGGGGGGGGGGGGGGGGGGGGGAGAAGCCTAGACACTGGTGGGGGCAGGGCGCGTGTACTCAACCTGTGCTAGACTGTGCACGTGGGGAAGCAGGTGGGTCCGCACACGCCCCCACCCTCCCTGAACAGCTCCTGCAAACACAACCTCTGGTATCTCATTAACCTTCAGCCAAACACTCCTGGCTGCGAGTCAGCGCCCAGGATAGCGCCAGAGCCAGACAGGCCAACGTGCTCGGTGGGGCCGCACAGACACACACACAAAAGGGCTTTTTTCTTATCCTGGTTTCCCCTCCTCACGCAAAAAACAAACCCAACCCTGAGATTCTGACCGATTTTCCCATCCCGAATCGGGACAGAAAGTCGAAATTTCAAAACTAAAATAAAATTGGGAACCAAGAAAAGAAAAATGTCAGGTTGGGGGAGTGGAAATCATCCAAACATTTTGTTCCCAGTCCAACCTCTCTTTACTTTCTGCTGAGTTCAGTTTTAAAAGCAACAAGTTGTTTCTCGCCGGCAAAAAAAAAAAAAAACGACACTTCATTCCAAAAATACCAACACCGGAGTTTTGGAAAGTTTCGGGAACAAAATTCCCCACGTTTTCCAGTCAGGCGGGATCAGCTTGAATGAATAAAGATTTTTCGGCAGGGGGGAAAGAAACATTTTGTCAAAAAATTCCCAACCAGCCTGAAAGCACAGAGACCAGGCCAGGCACAGACACAGGGTGACCGGACGTCCCAACCATACTGTATTGGGATTGTCCCGATATTCACGGCTTTGTCTTATATACGTGCCTATTCCCTCCCACACACCTCATCCCGATTTTCCACACTTGCTTTCGGATCACCCTATGCGCACACCTCTCGAGCTCTGTCTCCAATGCACGCCAGCACCCCCCAAAACCCCAAAGTCCCTCTCCCAGTGTAATACACCTCTGCCCGGGCAGGTGGCACGCTACCCAGCCAATCACTGCATGGGAACGGTCAAACTCTACCCCCCGCCCCCAATTCAAGTTGGGGTACTGGGGTTCAGACAGGGGGCAGGTGGAGAAAGAAAGAAAGAAAATTGGGGATCAAAGTCTGACTCTAACCCCAGAATCAGATCAACTACCAGCAACTCCATCCAAACATACCAATCTCTGTCCTGTTCTAAAGTCCGTCTCAGCCATTCCCACCGGATATCTCCCCCACCCTGCTTAGGTACCACCCCACACCCAGCCCAATGGGGTCATGCCGGATTCACTCTGGGGTCACTGAGATCAGAAGCCAGCTCTGACTGCATTGGCAGCACTCAGGTCACTCCGGATTCACACCGGAGTCAGAATTTTGCCTGGCATGAATAAATGCTTCTAAGAGCAAATAGTGACAAATATATAATGGCTATTTGCTAATTACAGTTATAACAACAATGTGTATTTAGTAATTATCGACCACTAGCTGATATACAATATCAATGTACTAAACGCTAATCGGCAAAAACCAATCAAAGATGTCCTTGCTAATAAGAATAGTTATAATACTTAATAGCCGATTTCTCATGATAATAAATCATTAAATGATTATAATAAAAGTGTAGTTGCTAACTGCTGATCATATTCATTGTTGGCCACAGATGAATATGCAGATTGTAATAATAAAATATCATGTCTAATTGCTGATACTGTTGATTGCGGATTGGTGTTGATATGTAATTAGAATACCTAGCTCTTAGACAGCCCTTTTCATCAGTAGTTCTTGTTCATTTCACAAACTTGTGGATTTATCCTCCACAAACCCCTTCACAGCAGGCAACGCTCTTATCCCCATTCTACGGATGGGAAAACTGAGCCACGGAGCGTCTAAGGGCCAGATTCACAATGGAATGTAGGCTAGGCGGGAAGCAGCCTGAACTAGCCAATGGGAGATGCCGACTGGAGGGGTGTGGCCTAATCCCCGCCCCTCTCCCCAAGACAGGTGACAAAGTCCAGGCTGCAGGGAGGCGTCTAGCGCCGCTCGACCGTCTCAGCTGCAAACCCCCTCTTGGTGGCCTCCGCCGGGTGGGGCGGAGAATCTCCCACATAGCTTTTAGCCTGGTCATTAGAGCACCCAGCTGGGAGACCCAGGTTCGATTCCCCGCTCTATGTGACGGGATTTGAACTGGACTCCGCCACCTCTCCAGGGAGTGCCCGAACCACTGGGCAACAGGGTAGTCTGCCCGGCTCCCTCCCTCTCTCCTGTGGAAGTTGTGCCACTCTGGATTAAAGAGCGAAAGGATCAGAAGGAG